GCCTGCACCCTGAAGGCCGAGGTCAGAGGAGAAGGTTGCTGTGATGGAACCTGCAGAGCAGCTGGCCATTTACAAAGTGCTTTTGCTCTCCCAGTTCCGGGTCCAGGGGTAAGGTGCTGAGAAAGGTGGTTGTGGCCTTGCTTGAGCTCACACAGCCAATGAGGGAGGGCGATGGGACAGGACACGGTCCTCAACCCACAAGCAGCTCCTGTTCCAGCTCCCAGACTGAGTCCTTCTGTGGAAGAAGGGCACCCTGAAGGCAGGTCCTGCAGGTCCCTCCCAGCACACGGGGATCCTGATGACCGTCTGCCTGCAGGTTCTGCGGGGAGGGTGGAAGTCTGATTTCACCCATTTGGGTACCCCCCCCCCATGGAGCTGATGGGCACCTCCTGGGGCAGCAGGAGTGGCCCAGTCCCCCACCATGCAGCCTCATCATCACTGTTGGGATTTTACAGATATTTCTCTTTTTTTTTCATAGAAAAAATGCAGCCTTATTTTTCTGTTATTTTTTAAACCCAAGCACAAGGTTTTTCAAATACTAACTTAATCCGCAGCCTACCTCATGGGCCTCCCTCTCCCGGGAAGGGACCCTCCTGCCCCTTGGTGATGTGCAGGCCTGCAACCCCTGCGGGAAGGGGGGACCCACCAGCCAAGAAGGTTCCCAGGATGAGAAAATCTGCTCGTGAGGCGAGAGCGCCCCCTGTCTTCTCTCGGTTGGACTCCGAGCAGCCAGGACGTCCTGAAGGGGGGTGTCAAGGCAGATTCCCTGAATAGTCAGCAGCAGGAAAGGATGGAGGCCTGTGTATCTGCCAGGGAGAAGGAAGGGGCAGCAGACACACCCATCCAGGAACTTGAGGTGAAATGAAATGAAACGAAGCAGAACAACAAAACAAATTCTTGGCAATTATCTGGCTTCCTCCTGGCTCCAACTTTTCTTCCTCCTATGCTGATTGATTGGCAGGCGCTCTGTCAAAACAAACAAACAAACAAACACCCCTCTGGGGTGGGGACACTCGAATAGGCTATGCTTCAGCTGAAAGGACAAAACACTTTTTAAAAAATGTTAGTACACATCTAGATTCCAGTTTCTCTAAAAAATAAAACTGGAGTCTTGACTCTATTTCCTGCTGCTTTTCTACACATTTATTATTATTATTATTATTATTATTATCATCATCATCATTATTATTATTATTCACTGAAGCTTTGCAGTTTATTTGCTCCAGACTTTATCTGGCATGTGACACCAGAGCAGGGGGAGCAGGATTCCTCCCTTAAACCTTTGTCCAGCAAGGTCTGGGTGGCCAGCATGGTGCTGAGCCTATGAGGGACCCACACATGCACACACACAAATACACACACACACACACACACACACCTCAGAAAGCTCACAGAAAAATACTTTCTCACTATGATATTGTAAAAAAAAAAATTATTTGGCCATTGAAGATTCTGGGCACAACACTAGATAAGAGAAAAACAACCATCTAGACCCCTCCATGTGGCTCTGAGGGGAGGAGGGACCCCATGGACGTGGACAAAGGAGCCAGCCCTAGAAAAGATAGACAAAAAAAACAGGGGTTACCTCCCCCCCCCAATACCTGCCAACACTCACCTTGTGCCCCTCGAGGGACGGGTCGCACAGGTGGAGACCTCCCACACTTAGGCAGGACCCCCTTGCCTGCATCAGTCCTACCCCTGGGCTTCTCAAACTTCACGATGAACTGGAAACTCAGGGCATGAAGAGAGGGAGACCAGCCCCAAACACGTCCCAGCTGCTCTTTGTGCTGCACCCAGGACAGAGTGCAGCACCATATAGACCAGACCGTGCAATGTCACCCCCCGCCAGTGAGACGCTCCCATCGAAGGGCACATGGACCCCACCCTCAGGGCCTCTGGAAAAGCAGCAGAGGCGGCTGGCCCTGCTGGAAGACCTGGAGGAAGGAGGCAGGCTCTGCCAGTCTCTACCGTCTCTCCCAGGCAACCTCTCCCTGTCCCTCATCATCGTTTGGTTAAATAGAAGAGAGCAGAGGAGGCACTATACGTAAGAGTGGCACGGTTACATGCACACAGTAGCAAAGGAAAACATCCCTTTTGGTGAGGCGTCACAGAAATAGGAAAAATGGTGCTTTCTGGCAGAGGCTCTCAGCAAGAGAATCAAGACGTAAAGTTCCCTGGATGCAGCTCTGTCTGCACCAATGAATTCACATCTCCGGAGGTGGGGCCCGGGCAGCCATACCTCCTTGGAAACACGCACACAGGTCTTAGAATTACTCTGTCAAGCACGGTGGCGCAGTGTGGGTTCCCACTAGCCACCCACGGGAAGGAATCAGCACAGATAGTGTGGTGGTTAGGGGCTGTGCTGGGGCCTGAGATCCACTGGTCATTAGTTCCCAGGCACAGGAGGAATGCTCCCCGAGAGGGAGGGCCTGGAGAGGCCTGAGCCGGTGGAAGCTGCTGCTCAGAGTGAGGGGCCAGGTGGGCTCCAGAACCCCAGCCGCTCAGGGACGTGGGTGCTGATGGGAAGCACAGTGACCTGTAACCCACAGCACGGCTGGGGTCTGTCGAATCCGGTAACAACATAGGCTGTATCTCCAGGGTTTTCATTTCACTTTTCGAGTGAATTCATTTTATTATATTTTACACGAGTATTGGTTCACGCATGACCAATAGTATGTTACCAAGTAAGTCCTGCTGCCTCTCAATTGAGCATTTGAGGCAAGCATTTAGAGGGCAAGGGAAACCATGGCCTTCTCCATGGGAGGACACATGGCCCACCCACAGGTTGCCACTGCCATCTCCATGATGCAGCCACAGCTGTCTGAGGGTTGAAGGTGCAGCCTGGGTCTGTGATGAAGCCCCTCCCCTGCGCCCCCGCCCCCCCCAGGCCAGTGCTACCCTGAGGTGAGGACTGAAGGCTGGCTGGGTGGCAGTGTGGTGTCCTGGAGAGGGGAGGATGGGGTGACTGGGACAAGCCCAGGGCTACACAGATGAGGAGGGGCGCACAGCCCTCATTCATGAGGGGGAGTTCGAAGATTTCAAGCTGAGAGGAGGCAGCGGCTCAGAGGAACTTCCTTGCTGACAGGAAGCCAAGGCCAATGGCCAAGAGGAAACGAGAACGGGGGATGAGGGAGTTTGGACAACGTGGAAGATAAAAGCAGTCAGTGTAAAAGGGGCACAGAGGATATGTGTCCTGTCTCTGCTCTGACATTCACTGCATTACCTAGGCCCAGTTTCTTAACCTCCCTGTGCCTCAGTTTACTCACCTGGAGATGGGAACCATACCTGTGCCATGGGACCGGGCAGCCATTAAGCACTCACCAATGTCAGCCTCATCTCAGCGGTGCCACCTACAGGGTCTTGGCTCAAGTCCCCAGTATTCCTTACCCTGCCTTACCCTGCACACGGGCTGAGGGGAGTAGCAGGGGCGAGAACCCAGGATTGGAGTCTTGCCAGGAGAATCAATTGAGAGACAGCAGGTGAGAGGCTTTACCATGAGGGGCTGCAGGTTTGTGAAGCATGGGCCACATAGCTGGATGAGGAGGCAGCAGGGGGACAGGGAGGACCGAACAGGAGGCCTAACAGCCTTACGTGGGTGAGTGAAGAATGAGGTCAAGTGACCAGATGCTGAGGTTGGTGCATTTGAAACAATCACAGCACACTTTTCCAGGTCCCATCTTGATGAGGGCCAGCATCTTATAAACACTGACCATGAAACCCCAGTCCAACAGGAAATCACCCATTTCCTAAGCCCAGTGGGGCTATCATCCATGCACACATCAGCACAGGTCACCGCACTTTCTGGGGCACACTGAGATTTCCTGCGACCTTGCGGAACGCAGTGCTGTGAGGGGCCTCAGTGGTCTCCAGCCGCACCTGCTCGGAGCACCCCCGGAAACCTCTGGAAGGACCGACTGAATGTGCAGTGTGCCAAGGACACCTGCCTTCACCACACTGTCAATCACTCTGGACACACAAAGGGGCCGTGTAGCCTGAGACAAGTGGTTGTGTCACTCACTGGTTTGTAAGAATTTTTATAAACTTCCTTTTTAAGTCTACACGTAAGTTACATTTCAAGATACATAATGTTATTTGACAGCTTAAAATGTGTCATATGTTTAAGTAATATAAAAGAAGAAACACATTTCATTTGGGAGTCTAAGTACATAGTATCCCAGTATCAGCTTCAGAAATCGCAGACATAGTATCATTTGAATGGTTTGACTGAGCCCGCATCAGCACAGCATGAGAGCAGACTCTCTTCAATTCCGATTCTCTCATCCATAACTTGGAACCTCAACTAAGTTCTGAATTTGCTGAACCAATGGATGAAATCATTTTCCATTGCCTAAATTTAGAAAATCCCAGAATGTGAAACTGTAGAAAGCACCTTTCCCCTTGAAAGTTCACACACAAACACTACATGATTTCCAAAGTTTATTAAAAATCAAAGAATAGAAAAACTTTACATAAAAATATGTCCATTTTGTTTGCACACAAAAAAAATTGAAACATGATATCCTTTGTGACCACAGTGGTAGCCAGGCCAATTCATTCCTTCACCATGACGGGGTGGAGCATGGCACCTGTGTGTGTGAATCGAGCTTTAAAATGGGCACCCACGGGACACTGGCCGCCGTCCCTGCAGTGGTGTCCTTAGTGTATAGGGTTACAGTCAATATTGCTAATATGTAGAGATTAGTACAGACCTACATATCAGTTTTATAAATATCTCTTTATCAATAGGTTTACAATTTAAATATTTTTAAATATTCTGATAACTTTCGATCATTAAGAACTGTAGACAAAATGTGCTACTCTATTCTGGAATGCCTCCTAGGGAAGCTGCAGTCACAGCTGGGAGCTCTCAGTGATAATGTGGGCCAGTCCTGCTTAAAACCAAACAGACCGTAGACATTTTAAAGCTTGTCCTTGCTGGGTGTCCATCACATTCAGATATCACTCAGCATATCAATCAGGTGTCATGGTAATGTTTCTTGTCTCAACATACTCCACTAGTGGACTCCAAAGGCCAACCTCCCTGTAGTGTTCAGCGGGGCCAATACCCCATGTTAGAAATGGGAAGTCAGACCTATGAGATGCAGCTAAATCCCAGGACAATTGTAGTGCTCCAAAAACTCAGGGTTAGGCAGGATGGATATATTCTTGTTCAAAAAAAGGTAACAAAGACAGTGGTTGTCATGGCAGAATACACTTGCATAGTATACCTGTATGCTTCTCAAGTTGGGCGCCAGCCCTCCCAGCCCGACACTGGGCTGTGCTCTCCTGCAAGCATTAGGAATACTCCCCACAGCGAGCTGAGCAGCTGAAGCGTTTTTCCTATATTTGCTGAGCAGCTGAAGTACTTTTCCTATATTTGCTCTTAACAGAACGAATGCATACTGCTATACAGATTCCTCAATGGAATCAACATAATTCCTTTCTCCACATTCCTAAACTGGGCACCATTGTCCGTCATGATCCTCACCAGCCCCATCATTACAGGCTGTTATTACTAAAGCTGACTGAAGCATGTAGTTCACATTTTTTTTTTTTTTTGGATTTTATAATGTGATAACCTCTTCTCCCCTTAGAAAGTTATACTTCTGGCACTTTAAATGCTGGATTTGTTGTCTAGTTTAAAAGAACCAAAAACCAAAACGTTAAAACTCCATGGTCAGAGCGAGACAATAGACAGGCTGGACGGCAGAACCGGCAGGCAGCTGGTCAGAAGACTCGGGGGCCAAACCCCTTCAGAAAACTAGGGGGCAACTCGGCTCCTTCATCATAAATTGAGAGGCTTCCCCTCTGACCCAAAGAATAAACATAAAAATAAACCCAAGCCCCTCACTCATGGTGTTTGCAACGGTGCTCACCAGACAACCAGCTGACTCTATGAACCCAACTTAGAAAAGCAACTCGGGAAAGGACCTAAGCTTGTTTAAAAAAAAATTCCCTCTTCCCTTAAATATAACTTATGTGAAAATAGGAAATTAAATAAAAAATATCTGAGTTATTGCACAAATGATAAGTTTTCAATATTTACATAGAAAAAACAGTTCTGAAACTTGAAACAAAACGTGAGGGCAGTAAAACAATGTGACCTCCATCCATCCACCGAGGAAGAGCCGATATGGGGTTGATCTCTGTGGCTCTGACAAACATAAGATGAAAACACCCAACCTCGAAGGAACAGACACAGCTGAGAAACAAACGCCCAAGCCGACTTCACCCCCTGCAGCTCCAGGTCCAGACCTGCTTCTGGAAGGATCCTGGGAAGGCAGAAAACAGCGTCCACGTGGAATAAGGCTTCACAGATGAGCACAAGGAGCTGTTCTTTAAGATGGACGTGACCACCACACAAGGAACATGCAGAGTGATCAGCGGCAGGCGTTTGAGGGGCCCGGCTGATGTGCTGGATGCTGGTCTCAGTTCTTGCCAGGCGCCGAGGCCACCCGGGTCAGTCTCGGAAGGGTGGTGGCCAGGAGGCGCCACCAGGAGCTATTATCTGCTGAGACTGACAGGCAGGCTGTCCCTCGTGTGCGTGTGTTTTTTCCTCCTCCAGCTGGTACGGTTATACTGGTGGTGTCCTCGGTTGCCCACAGGGGGTCGAACACCTCCACTGCCCACAGAGCTGTAGCTGCCGCCTTGGCTGTGGTTGTGAGAGCCTTTCATGGCCAGCTTCATGCCACTGTGCTGCTGAAGAGATAAAGAGAAACAGCACGATGAAGAGTGGCTTGGGAACAAGAAACAACACTGCCATGGGAGACTCGCCCATCCCAGCTCCTGTGAGCTCAGCCTCGGGGCAGTGAGCCTAAGCAACGAAGGACCTGGCTGGAGTGATGAGGGACAGTGATAAATGTAGCAAATACAGCCCATGAGGGCCCAGGGGAACACTGGCCTCAGACACTATACCCTGTTCCTACTGAAAGATGCCAGTCACAGCTCTTTCAAACACCTTCGCACTTCATGAGCACAGGAACTTCACAATGGCCCGTTATCTTATTATGCAACAGTTTCTAATGTGTGGGATCTGGACTTAGATGAGCCACAGGGAAATGGAGAAGGGCATTGGCAGGGACCCCGGGGCCTAGAAAGCAAATGAACTTTGAGCCCTGCCAGCCCACCTCGCCCTCTGCCAGGGTGCCAGGCAAAGCACCGGGAGGGAGTGATGCTGCGGGAATGAAAAGCACTGCAAGGAGCCGCATCAATATTTGTTCTAAATTCTATTTGCTTCTTGAAAACCAAAGTTTTTAGCACATAAATTGATACATGGGAAAACAAAATATTCTTCACTTACTTCAGTTTTATGCTAAAAATTTCACTAGACAAATTAAGAGAAATATATTTGGAAAGGAATTAAGCTATATTAAATTTTTAAATAATTTCTTAACACTTTTAAAGTTTTATTTGTTACAAGGGAAAGCAAACATGAAGCTGAATGACCAGAAAACAAATTCCCTTTTAAAAAGTCTCTAGAGCCCTGGCCAGTTTGGATTAGTGGATCGAGTGTCCGCCTGCGGACTGAAGGGTCCCGGGTTCGATCCCAGTCAAGGGCACATGGCCTGGGTTAAGGGCTCGATCCCCAGGAGATCTCTCTCTCCCTCTCCCTTCCTTTCTGAAATCAATAAAAATATATTTTTAAAAAAAATATATACGTGTGTGTGTGTGTGTGTGTGTGTGTGTGTGTATTTAAATCTCTAGAATTCTCTCTTTGGCAGAGGTAGCAATTAAGCAACACCTATCATGAACCTGCTGTGGTGGGTGCCAGGGGCCTGGGCCGGACGGGAGACCTACCTTATGATACAGATGAGGGCTGGAGAGCGGGTTAGGAGACGCGGATGGAATGGCCGGGGAAGACATGTGGTGCACGGCCTTCAGTGCTGAAGTTCCTTCAACACCAACTTGTCTGCAAGGAATGGGGGCCACCCCCAAGGTCGGCGGAGGTATAGTAAACCTAGTCTAGGGAAAAAACCAACAGAGACACCCATAAGGCGCAGAGCCAATACAGGTCAACCATTCCAGGTCTGAGGCCCAGTTTGTGTTTGACTGGAACCTCACAAGATTTTGTTCTAAATCAGAAACATTTTATGTTCTGAAACAGCAATCACAATATGAAGTATAGCTAGTAACCCAAGTCAGAACGTTTCAATATTTTTTAAGACCAAATAACAATTCAAAAACTACAGCCATCAGAGTAACTGTCCCTTGAGTCTCGGGAAACAGTCCATAGCAGCAACAGCCCACAGCCGGCACCGAGGCAGGCGATCCCTGCCCTCCTTCGTAGTTGAGGACTGCTCCTATTTCTGCATCACCGTTCCGTCACAGCACAGGGTGCTGGCGTGAAGCCTCAGACTTTCCAAAACTGCACTACTCACGTCTTAGTCCTTTGCCCCACCGACCTCTGAAGAGTGCGACCCTCCTTGCACGTATCTATGTCACTTTACTAGTACACTCAATTATAACCACGTTGGAGAAACTGGCTTTACTCTTTAAAGTAAATTAATGTGATGGGTTTTATATACATACATATTCAACTGATATATAATTGGGAAGTTGAAACAAAATTTCGTATTTTGGATATTGTCTTTCAGACTTCTAACTTTGTCTAAATTTAAAAAAGAGAGAACATATTCTAATAGCCCAAGTCCTATAAATATTGCCTGTGTGAAAACAATGTGAAAAGGTCAAAGTGTCTATTACACTTGGTAAGAGTGTAAACTCTGTGATCCTCAGGGGAAACAGGGACAAGTGTCCATTTCTGCCTGAGGAAAGCATCAGTCCCTCTCTCTGACACAACCCAGGACAGTGGTCTCACGCTGGGTATCAATGTAAAGAATGACAGGAATTATATTCTATGAGACCCACAAATGAGGACAATTTCCTACGAGACAGAAATGTACTTTCCAAAGACCTTTAAAGTTCTTTTCCTAAATCAAAGCGTCAGCCACTCCTACACAGTTCCTAAGGACCTCTCACAGGATGGGCACCAGTGGCCACATACCTGAGTGTTAGTTGTCATGACCAATGTTCTGGAAGTAGTGGACTGAGGCTTGCCACTCGGCATGGGCAAGGCGGTCGGCAAGCTGGCCAGCAGGGGAGTGGGTGCTTGCAGACTGAACTGGTAAACGCTGGGCGTTGTGCAGGGCGGGGTGTCGGAATCCTGTGAGCAGAAAGAACAGGGAGGGCTGTACAGAGGCGACTTCTTAAGGTCACGAAAGAAATGCCTGCAGCATGCTTGCTATGCAAGGTTGCTAGAATCTGTCCATTACTGCTGCTCAACAACAGGCAGCCCAAAGCTGCTCACATTTGCTTCATTTCAAAACTGAAGGAAAATGTAAAGGAAATACAGAAAGGATGCCTAGACTTAATTGTTTTATTTCCAAATAAGTTTTTTAAAAACTATTCAAGGAAGTCCACTGTAATTCTACCGTCAGTAGCATTACCATTTACAAGGGGCCACATGGGCCACTGAGAATGAGGCTCACAGCAGAGTGGGGACCACTCACTGCAGACCTAGGGTGGTCTCACATACACAGAGAGAGTGATAAAAACTCCCTGCTATGGATGCTTTCCACAGACACAGACCTCCCAGCTGACATACTCACAATGTCACTTCCGGAAAGTGAAGACACGGAAGACGCAGAGGAGCCCGAGGAGAGAAGCTGGGGGCAGGGCAGAGACAAGGTCAGGTGCTGGGTGTAGGGTGGCTCCGGGTCTCGGCGCTGGGGCTGCTCCCCATCACATGAGTTTATTCGCTCTTTTATCTTAATTCTATTGTCTGTGGAAGGAAAAACACAGCCTAGGTGAGTCATTTTTCTAGGAGCGCAGACATGTGGGCCTGATGGGATAGCCACCAGCCACAGATGTGACTGAGCCTTAAAATGATGCTAATGAGGCTGACAAATTGAATTTCTAATTCTATTTAATTTTAATTAATTTTTAAAATTATATTCTAGTTATTAGAAAACATTTAAATATATTTGAAACTTGCTATATAAAGAGTTTTCAACTATACATTTTATGAAATCTAAATACAGATCAAATATTTCTGGTGGAAATTTAACATGTTAATTGGGATATGCTATAAGTATAAATATGCACTGGATTTCAGATCTTGTATGAAAGAAGGTTCCAAAATATCTCAATTTTTATATTGATTACATTTTGAAATGTTAATATTTGAACACTAAATTGAATAAATCATATCATGTTTTACATTTTTTAGGCAGTTACTAGAAACTTTAAAATTCCATGTGGCACACATTATATTTCTTCTGCGTAGTGCTGACCTAAGTCTTATAGTTTTAAATTAAACTCTTAAAGAAAAACTAGGTATTTTTCTTAGTGTGAACAATGTCCCAGGAAGGAACAAAGGGATACTCCTGCATGAATGGTCAGAAGGTGAAAGGTGACTGACCAAATTAATTTCTCACCAAGGTCGGGAGCTGGGTGGACCTTGCTGCCCCACTTCTCCTTGATCCACCGCCGGTAGTCAATCACTTCCTGAGTTACCTTGACAATTCTTCCTAAAGTACTACAAAAGGACAAGGAGGGACATCAACATAGCACAACAGGACTGGGAAGCCATGAACCCTTTTCACTGGCTACTTACACTTTTAACAAAATATTGCTTTGCTAAGTGAAATACAGGAAAAAAGCTAAAATAATTTTTAAAAATACATGACTTCTGATGTTTGAGCCCAAACGTACTTTGAGATCACAGTAGAGTAAAAGTGGATTCACTTATGTAGAAGTTCTTGAACCTAAATGATCTGCAAAAGACTATTTAAATCCTATGCCTAAGTAGGGAAGTCCACCCTCCTCACCCGCCATGATCACAAAGGTCTAAAATTCCCACTTCCCCTGCACGGCGAGAATGGGAGACAGTGCACCCACCACAGGGCCCCAAAGTGCTGCCTGAAAACACTGAGTGGACTGAGGCACAAAACCCATGACAGGTCTACCACCACCAGCGCTGGGTCTCCAAACCTACGTATTCCATAACCCGCCCAAGGAACAGAGCCAATGGCACTTCCAACTACCACTTGTGACAATCATACTATTCTTTTCATTCCCTGCTCTCACTTCCCTCCCTCTGTCCCCCAATCCCACCACCTCCACCACAACACCATAATCTGCAGGCAAATATAAATATTTCTTACTAGAAACAAGTGTATATTATAAGTGTTCCAGAATGGAGAATGATGGATAGTTGTGCCTAAGAGAGATGGGATGGGGCATGCGGACTGGGATACACATTCATGTAGAGCTGACTACCCAACATTTTGATTCTCCCTCAGAAAAAAGCATCAAGTTCCAAAGTTTTAAAAACCAAGAATCACCTCCCCAAAACAAAATATTCTGGGGGGCGGGGGAATGCTAGCTCCTCAAATAAGAAATTTTCAACTCTTATCCTTGGATGAATCAAATAGAGCCATCCTGAATTCCTAAAAGGTCTTCCTTTTCTGGTATTTTCAAGTTTTACTAAAATTTGATGGCACATACATTAGAAAACTTCATGGAAACAAACGACAGAGGCTAATAAGGGTGCAAGGACCATGCCCCTCAGCTGTGAACCCAACAAAGGTGTCGAATGACTTCTGTTACCTTTCCGAATCTCTGTTTGGATAGGACCTTGCAAGCGGTGACACAGCATGACTGAGTACAATGTACGCGTAATCAAAAACCTGCTTCACCTGCATGGCCCCATAGGAGCTCCGGCCAACATCATTTCCTGAAACAGAAAGGCAGCTGTAAAACTCTACCAAACATTTGAGCCATTATCGATGTTTTTTATTTTCTCATATAAAGTTATTCTGAATCAGGCCCTCACCACTCAAACATATCCAGACCCCCAGAGCTAAGCCAGATCACACACCTGCAAACACACATTAGTTAATCACCACATGGCATCCCACGTTGTTCTTGAGCTGAGGGGCCTGATCTGCATCATCAGATCAGAGTCTACCTCCATGAACAGAGATGTCACTCACAGAGACAGAGTGACCATTTATGAAAAAGTCAAGTAACTCCCCAGGAGGCAAAAAAACACAAGTGGACCAAAGCAGCAACCTGAATCAGGCTGCCAGCACACTGACTGAGAGCACACTGACTGCAGCAGGCAGTTAACCTGAGGCCCACAGAGCAAATCCTCTCGGATAGAATGTTCAGGTCTGAACTCTGGGTGTTGGGTAGTAAATCAAATAAAGCTGCCACTGAAGTCACCAAGCAAGTCATAGTCAAGGAGCTTAACCTTAATTTTAATTTATATGAAATTTCTTCACAAGTCAGATAAGGATTTTTTTTTAGAAGCTGTATTCTGAGTATTGAAATAGTATCTTTTCCATACTTAATTATATAATACTAGAGGCCGGGTGCATGAAATTCAGGCACCGGGTAGGGGGTGGAGGGGGGGAGAGGTTCCCTCAGCCCAGCCTGTGCCCTCTTGCAGTCCAAGAGCCCTCAGGGGGATGTCCGACTGCTGAGGAGGTGGGAGAGGCTCCCACCACCGCCACTGCACTCCCAGCTGTCAGCCCGGCTTGTGGCTGAGAGGAGCTCCCCTTGTGGGAGCGCACTGACCACCGGGGGAAGCTCCTGAGTTGAGCGTCTGCCCCCTGGTGGTCAGTGCGCATCATAGCGACTGTTCCTTCCAGGTCGTTCAGCCCTTAAGGTCAATTTGCATATTACCCTTTTATTATATAGGATAGCCTAGTGATATAGTGGAGTTTTTGTTTTTTAAGTACATTTTAGCAAACACTGAAGACAATGTTCAACTTATTCTGTGTTTAACTTACAAACATGGACAGATGATGAAAACCTGCCACACCATGCTGCCTGGAAAATCACTAGGCATGGCATAAATCATGGCATTTATGAACAACAGAAGAGTCAGTATGTTTTCTTTAAAAATTTTTTAAGAAATAAATTTTGTACCCCAAAAGCCATAAAACAAAAATCATTAAATATGAGGACATTAAATAAATATATAGAAGCTAAACAATGAAAAATACCAAACCCAAAGAACGTATATGCATAACCCATGGACACAAACAGTAATGGGGTGAAGGTCTGGGGGGAGGGTAGGTGTGGGGTGGAGGGGGTCAATGGGGAAAAAAGGGGGACATATGTAACATTTTCAACAATAAAGATAAATCCAGGTGCAAATGACAAACTGGGAGATAAAAGTACAGCATGTACAACAAAGAAAGGCTTCCCTAACTTACAGTCTCACAAAATCGGTAAGGGAACAGTCCAGCAGACACATGACAAAGCACATGAACTCACACAAAAGACATACAAAGGGGCAGTGTACCTGGAGCTGACATCTCCACCACCTTTTCTGTCACCTGTCCGTCACTGACTTTATCACCAACAGTAAGAACAGTGTCTCACCTAATAGATGCTCAATAAACATTTGTGGAATTGATAAATAACAATGTGCTTAACCTCACTATCATTAAAGAAATGTAAATTAACTGAAAATTTATATTGCATGATTTTATCAGATTGGCAAAAACTTAAAAGACTGTCACAAAGGTTGGGAATATGAGCACCCTTAAAAACAATAAAAGGAATAAAACTGGAAAACTGGAGACCTGCTTCGTTCGGGTTCTTCAAGGTGGCTGGCAATCTTTGTTACTGAACAGACCCTACATACATAAAAAAAAGGGGGTCTTGGATACACTGTTAAGTAAAAAACAAATTGCAAATCTGTTTGTATTATATTATGCCATTTTTGATAATGCTGCAATATATGTAAAAAAAAAAAAAAAGGGAGAAATATACACCAAAATGGGAGGCGAGTATAGCATACTTTGCTCTTTCTCTACTACATACTTCTGGGAATTAAGTGGTTTATGATAAATATGTAATAGTTTATAATAAAATATAGACTTTTTTTTCTTAATTTTCACATTCTACATCTTTCTGGTTGACTACAGAATGTAAATAAAATTGCAACTTTGCAATAAGTAATTAGAAGCATTAAGTAAGGAATTGTAAATTGTCACTATTAACTATTAGGACAGTAGGAGTCCTAATGAACTGCCCTTGGCTGCCAGGGCCTGAGGATACACCACCACCACCACCACCACCATCACACCAGTACACCAGGGAAGGGATGCCCCCGCATGCTTGGGGCAAGTTCAGAGCAAAGTGCCATTACCAGGCAGCAAGGGGTCCTCAATGCACAGCATCGAAGGTCTATACCCGCTGGTCATGGCTTTCATGATCTCTTCTTTGGCAATATAGGCACCTCCTTCTTTTATTCTAATACCAGTTTTCAAGTAATTAAAATTTCTTCCATAGAGTTCAAAAAATTCTACAAGAAGCATTCCAAGGTTTTCATCAGCTCTCCGGGCATCAATTCTTGGATGCAACTGTAAAAGCAATGGATTCAAGTCATTTCTAAAGAAGATTGCATGTGATGAAATCTGCTACCTAGTGATCTCTTCTAGGACCGCCCTCAGCAGCACCCACTCACCCACAGGCATTGGGACGCTCAGAGCAGTTGCAAAAGTCAGTAACAGAGCCTGGTCAATAAAGAGAATTCAAAAGAAATAAAACCTTCTAGCTTAATGTTTTTATTATACTTCAATTCTTTGAAACTGGTAATCTATACAGCAACTTCCTACAAACACAGACATCTGATTAACCACAAGTTCCCAATCACTGATGAGTGGGCCATATTCTGCACAATTTAGGGTCATCTAAATCAGCAATTTTCAACTGGTGTGCCACAGAATTTTTAAAACATGCAATACCTAACTATTCAGTCAGGGGCATTGATCTCTTCTCCCTTAGATCAGGGGTGGGGAACCTTTTTTCTGCCAAGGGCCATTTGGATATTTATAACAGCATTTGTAGGCCATACAAAATTATCAACCTAAAAATTAGTCTGCTATATTTGGTCAAACATTTAATTAACACACTCCTCCTTGGCAGAGCCACATCAAATGATTTCTCAGGCCTTCTATGGCCTACAGGCCGATGTTCCCCACCCCTGCCTTAGATTGTCAAATGAAAAAAAAAAAAAATTACAACAGCCAACACAACAATAGTCATCCTATGTGAATGAATCAAAATTATACCTATCTTTTTTTGTCAGATTGGCAAAAAATATAACATTTTTTGGTGTGTTGCAGAACTTAGTAACTAGTTTATGTGTACCATAAGATGAAAAAAGTTGAAAATTGCTAGTCTAGATGGTGGAAGTGATTTTACAGATTCTAATCTTAATTTCATTGTTCCAAAATACAACCAAAAGGGGGCAGTATTAGATTAAACAGTATCACAGAAAACCAGAATGCGAAAGGATTAACATTAACTGTGTATAGTAATTTAGTATTCTATCATAATATTTATAGCAAACTTGTCATAGAGATTAGCATTAGCCTCAGTTTGGCGCCACAATTTCTTTAAGTGGGTAATGGACTTTTTTTTAACCTAAGTCACTGTCTACTAACACCTTCTTGAGTAACTGATTTAAGAGACCCAAATCTGAGCAATGCAGACCCGTGCTGCCCATAAGGAAAGCCACGAGCCACATATGGCTATTTATATTTAAACTAGGGGCCTGGTGCACTACATTCATGCACTGGGGGGGGGGGGTTCCTCAGCTTGGCCTGTGCCTTTTTTCACATTCTGGGAGCCCTCAGGGGATACCCAACTGCCGGCTTAGGCCGCTTAGGGGGAGCAGGTCTAAGCTAGCAGTCGGACATCATTAGTGCTGCTCCAGAGGCAGGAGAGGCTCCCACTACCACTACTGCACTCGCCAGCCGTGAGCCCAGCTTCTGGCTAAGCGGCGCTCCCCCCATGGGAGAACACTGACCACCACGGGGCAGCTCCTGTGTTGAGCGTCTGCCCCCTGGTGTCAGTGCACGTCATAGCAACCAGTAGATTGCATATTCCACTGTACAGTAGATTTGCATATTAACCTTTTATTATACAGGATAAATTAAGACTGATTAATTAAAAATTCCATTTGTCGGTCTTGCTAGCAACATGGCCAATGCCCAGTAGGCATCTGGCCCGTTGGCCCATGCTGGACTGCAAGGGCAGAGAGAACACTGCCAACTGCATAGAGTTACACTGGACAGCACACAAAAATAAAAATCCTGATAGAAGCACAATTTACAACACAGAGCTCCATGAGGAATCCTAAAAGTATTTTTAGGGTTCATAACTTTGACTTCTGAGGATTTGCATATTCCAAATGCACAAGTGTAGCATTCTTATTTTTCCTTACCTTACTCTCTTTCTTATTCCTTGCCTTCTAGTCAAAATAAAATACCTGAGGATTACCCAGGGCAAGGCTGGGTTTTCTTATCTCAATTAGCCATGAAATGAACTCAGGTGCTACAATTCAGTTTTGAGGCAGGAGGGGCAAGACACTAAAGCAGCGGTTCTCAACCTGTGGGTTGCGACCCCTTTGGGGGTCGAATGACCCTTTCACAGGGGTCACCTAAGACCATCGGAAAACACATATATAATTACATATTGTTTTTGTGATTAATCACTATGCTTTAATTATGTTCAATTTGTAACAATGAAAATACATCCTGCATATCAGATATTTACATTACGATTCATAACAGTAGCAAAATCACAGTTATGAAGTAGCAATGAAAATAATTTTATGGTTGGGGGTCACCACAACATGAGGAACTGTATTAAAGGGTCGCGGCATTAGGAAGGTTGAGGACCACTGCACTAAAGAATGTGGAGATGACAAAGACAATCCCACCCATGCTAGGCAAGGCTCCTAGGTCACAGGAGAGCTGCAAGAATCCCATGGGGTAATTCAACAAAAGGCACTTAGCCAAGGGCAATAAAAGTAAGGAGTTGTCATTATTACATGGCTACTAAAATAGTTCACATCAGGAATACAGACAGTCCTGGGGTTACATCGGACTCGACATATGTCATTTCATGGTTACATCGCCATCTCCCATTTATTTATTAAAAAAAAAAAGTTCTGTCATTTTGACGTATGTACATATGTGCTTTGTTTTTTATTATTTATTTACCACAAGTAAAGGTCAGGAATTGTTATCTTTCTTTTAAATTTGTTTTACTGTTTCACTTCATTACTGCTGTGTACGTGCTCCATGTGAGTGACGTAGGTGGTTATGTAGGTGGGTTCGGACTTACTGCAAAAATTGCGTTATATCACACCGTAGGAACGGGTCTCCGACGTAACCCGAGGACATACTGTATATGACAAAGTAAGCTAAGAAGAGATGGTTGTGTTACTTCAAAATTATGTTCAAAAACTAGGGAAGAGTGGCTATAAGGGCAGCATTGTGGAGGCGAGAGTGAAAGACATGTCAGTGGGATTAAAACTGTAGAAAAATTCCATTTTCCCTCTTTGTATAGCATCTCTGCACAGACAGGCCAAAGAAGTCAAAGTAACTGAAGGCAGTGCAACCAGGAGTTGTACTGACTACTAGCAATTTTCCTGATGAGAAAATGACCAAATTCTGGACATAAAACCCTCACTAAGCACAAACACAAATACAAAATTAATAATAAACCTGGAGAAAATGTGTTGTGCAGCTAAAATACATAGGCAAGATTTTGTAAAGCACAGAACCCTTCATTCAATAAAATATAAATAAAATAATGTTTCAATTAACTTAGAGACTATTTTATAGTATAGTGTATCAGTACATCACAGCATTTAACCCTTAGGTAGGTTTTCTACTGAAAAATGTTCCCATGGTACTCAATAAAATATTGAAGTTCTATCAATATATAATGCACAACAAAATATTGAAGTTCTGTCAATCTGGGGGGAAAAAGCCTCTTTTTAATATTTTTTACCATATACGGTATCAAACTTTTTTATGAGATAGTTTTCAGTATAAATCATAGTCAAGCACCAAGAAAAATGTTTTTATTGTATATCAAGGTATGAAAGTTTTCTAAATGTATAGGTATTTCCTCGAGTTTAGACTGATATACACTTAACTGACAACCAGATAAGCCCTCCCTCCTCTAACAGTTGTTAAATCAGCTACAAAATAAACTATAAAGAACAGTAGGAAAGAAGTATTCATCAAAATAGGGTTTTATTATAAAAATTAGAAGTCAATCTCTTCTAAACCAAAACAGAGTAGTGGAGGGAGAAGAGGACAGCTGGGACCCACCCAGCAACTGGTCAGAACACCCACCGTGGAAGAACCTAGTCCTACTGGGGAGAAAGCCCACTCACCTGTAGAAAGCTAATGGCCATTAAAATTAGGCTATATGAGCTAATTCCACCGGTAAAAACTTCATTCAGGTCCCTCTGCAGGAGGAACTGTTTCAATACTAAAATCAAGTAAGGCAGCAATGAATATTTCTGTAAATTCCAAAAGAGAAATATTTACTGGTTAGTTTATATACCTTGAAGACTTATTATATAGCAAATTTTACATGGTAGAAAAGAAAGCTTCCTCAATCCTCCTGCCCCTTGGAAAGCTCTAGGCCAGTGATGGCGAACCTTTTGAGCTTGGCATGTCAGCATTTTGAAAAACCCTAACTTAACTCTGGTGCCATGTCACATACAGAAATTTTTTGATATTTGCAACCATAGTAAAACAAAGTAAATATTTTGATATTTATTTTATATATTTAAATGCCATTTAACAAAGAAAAATCAACCAAAAAAATGAGTTCGCGTGTCATCTCTGACACACGTGTCATAGGTTCGCCATCACTGCTCTAGGCTCATCCTCAAAGGGCTCATTAAGATCCCATTGGGGAGCTCCTCCCCAGTTACAAGATGGGGAAACTTGCACAAAGAAAAACTCAGGGAATAAATGAGTACATTCCTTCAAATACTTCCCAGGGCTTGCTGCCAGGCAGAGGGTTGTGCAGGTGAAGGGAAGGAAGGATACGACAGTGATCAAGGGAAGGTCCTGGAACCAATGCAAGAACCTCCAACACTCAGAGGCACCCAGAGAAAAGCAGAGGAGGTTGAAGTGGGGAAAGCTTATGAGGCAGGGGACAACAACAGGATGAGTGTCCAGACCTCCCAAGGGGAGAGTAGGGTGAAGATAACAAGGAAATGCACAGGCGGGAGAAGGGGTGGGAGACAGAGGAAACTTCTGTTGTTTTCATGTCTGTGGGGTAGAAATGAGCTCTCAGACAAGACATGATGTAAAGGAAAAGAGAAACGGAAGGAGCAAGGTCCCTGAAACTGTGGGAAGCAGCAGCACCCAGACTACAGGCAATTGAAACTACATAGCTGTTTTTCAGTTGAGGATAAATAACGCAACTGTACAGGCTCTATTATTATGAACAATCAATTTAAAGTTTTTAACATTTGTAAGAGAAACAATACCCAACATAACATCTTAAGTCCCTGATTTTTATTGTGTTAACTTGCTAATGGCAGTACCTTCATATAATTCTTGATGAACTCTGCTGCCCGGACCCCAGTCTCCATGTTGAAGCTGATGTCAACTTTAACTTCAGTCTCCTGGTCTGTGAGTTTTATTATTGGTACCTGCAAAAGTTTAATTTGAAAAATTGTGCTTCAATATGCAACATTCTCCACAGTCAGGCATCAAAATGTTTCCAAAGTTGAACAGAGAGGCTTTTAAAAAATTATTTACAAAATGGGCTTAGAGATCATAAACCCAAAATTTTAAAGATGAGAAGAAAAGGGACTTTTTGCCAGAGTTAACCTCTAGTCCCTAGAACCCAAGAACCCCCCCACCCCCCACCCCAGCAACACCTCTGCCCAGCCCTGCTGGCATGACCCAGCATCTTGCCAGTGATCAAGCATCAATCATGGCCACTATCTGCTTCTGCCAACGAGATGGGGCAAAGGGGAACAGGTGCCGAGGGAAGGAGAAAGAGGGGTGGAAGGCCCGGGCTCCACACACCTGCCTACCACATGGAGAGGCCAGCTAAGTCCCGGTTCCACCACAAGTGCCTGATTATCGGCAGGAACTCCTGTCCCCAAATTATGTTTGCTAGAATTTCTGAAAACATTCAAGAGAACTTCAAAGCCATTTTTGGAATTATAATTTGTACTGATGTTGTTTCTCCAAACAATTCTACTATGGGTTTCAATCTTTAAAACAAGCTAAAAAAAAAAAAAAAAACCCCTAAAAATCTATTTATATAAAGAGGCAATATGCAAATTAGGCCGGGACGCGGTAATGGATCATGACCAGACAGGCGCGGGTCCCGGCCACCCGCAGCACCAGTCAGGCCTGACTCCCGCGGCGGCTGGCACTGCGCGAGTCAGGCCTGGGTCCCAGCTGCCCATGGTGTGAGTCCGGCCTGACTCCCACGGCAGCCTGTGGGGTGCCTCCTCGTGCGATTTCAATCGTGCGCTGGGCTTCTAGTCAGAGAATAAAAGGCCATTTTGAAAATACTCATCAATAGAAATTATCACCAAAAGGCACTCAAAACTGGCCTCAAGACTGGCCAGTGTGGTTCTATGATTAAAGGTCAACCTATGAACCAGGAGGTCATGGTTCGATTCCTAGTCAGGACACATGCCTGGGTTGCAGGCTTGATCCCCAGTAGGAGGTGTACAGGAGGCAGCCAATCAATGATTCTCTCTCAGCATTGATGTTTCATCTCTCTCTCCCTCTCCCTTCCTCTCTGAAGTCAATAAAAAGACATTTTTTTAAAGAAACTGGCCTCATAAAAGATACCCAAACAATCATTTAAATCATCCCCACCCCCAAAATTGTGTTTTTCCAGAAGAAAAGGCAATGTTTTATTCATTCAGCCTTAAGGACTAAAAAGGCTGCATTCCCTTCACCAAAACAAATGGGATCTAGCTAAAGGTTTAAAATGTCCAGAAGTCAATAGAGACACAGGCTTTTCAGTGCACAACCTGATCTAAAATGCTCCCCTAGGCCAACTGCCAAGGACACCTGGTGACAGTGGACCTCTGGCAGCAGAGGAAAAAGCGTGGCTGTTGAGCCCACCCTGGGCTAATTACCTAACCTCTCTGTGCCTCAGTTTCCTCACCTGTCAAATGTGAAAAATAATAGCTTCTGCCAATGAGAATGCCTTGGAGGATTAACTGAGATAATGCCTGTAAGTGGTTTTAAAAATGGCCCAAACTTATCCATGGTGCTAGAAGGCAGGTGAGCAAATGGCTCCACTACATAAGCAAGATACAGCTTAATTTCTGACAATTTTCTTAAAACTAAAAGGACTTAGTCTGGCTTCATACAGGTTGAAACAATTTAAAAATGAAATGTTAGCCTGTAGTCTAGGTGAGCTAATAACTATCACACAACAGGCAAGTAACTTACAGTTCCTGCACTGTTTCTAATCTTGGACTTAGAGAAACCTTGACACTCATGCTTCAAAATCAGTCTCATCTTCCAACTCCTCCCAAGATAAGAGGTTTTTCATAAATGTGTACTTTTAGAATGAAACAGGTAAGTATTTCTTTCTGAAGTATAACTTGGTGAATAGTAATCTTTTTCTATGTAATAAAAGCCATGGTTTAATCATTCAGTTACATACTCCAGAAAGGTCAGCAACTGAACATGTCTCGTTTCAGGTACTAACATCCTTTCCTCACACACACTCTAAGACAGCGGTTCTCAACCTGTGGGTCGAGACCCCTTTGGGGGTCGAACGACCCTTTCACAGGGGTTGCCTAAGACCATCGGAAAACACATATATAATTACATATTGTTTTTGTGATTAATCACTATGCTTTAATTATGTTCAATTTGTAACAATGAAATTGGGGGTCACAACATGAGGAACTGTATTAAAGGGTCGCAGCATTAGGAAGGTTGAGAACCACTGCCCTAAGAGAAGTCGACAGTCATGTATCTTAGTGCCGGGAACAGTCGGATGCTCTCACAACTTGTGATTCAGACTGTCACTGAACCGGTTCTCAGCTGGTGACAACAACTAGAAAGCACATTTACACCAAAAGTAGAGAAGTCTTCAGAAACATAACCAATACCTGCTGCAGACAACCCGTTAATCACCCCGGCATCGGAGCAGGCCTCCACTTACTGTAGCTTTGTCCAGAACTTTGATGGAGCCTGGCTCAGCCACGTTGTGCTTCCTCAGGGCCTGCTCCAACAGTTGGAGAGGAGGACGCTCCCATTTTCCAAAGACCACTAAGTCGATGTCACTGGACAAAAGGAAAGTGGCCATAAACCACTGCTCACCTCACCATGCGTTACCACAGACATCTGGGATGGGCTGGTGCCACAGCCTGCACTCCCATCTCCCTCAAGGTAACCCTATTACCGATATCCCTTTCAGGGAGAGAAAATGTAGCTTATGAAGTAGTATTTGTAACATAAAGACTGAAAACAAAAAGGCTGACAGAATCTCCCAACATCACGAGGTAATAAGGGACTGAAACAAAGTGTCTGCCCCTCTGAGGTTTCTGGGCCCTCACTCTGTGCTGTATATACTGGGTCACTCATGCTGACCCCGGACTCCTGGACTCCTTGAAGCTATTCAATTCCCCATTGTCCCTGCCAATGCCAACTCCAAACCCTGAGATTACAGCCTCTTTAGTCTCAAAATACTAACAGGGGGTTAACAAAAAAATAGACTTTAAATGAAACAATGTACATAAATTGATTTGGATATTAAAAGAGTCCTTGATAGGTGCCGGGGTTCTTGTTCCAGCATCTAGAAGGGTTCAGCAATCTGGAGAAGAGCTGTGTGTAACTTAATAAAGAGTCCAGAGATGAAGCATAATTTTGAAAGGCATTATAGGGAGTCAGAGGAGCCTAGCTAAAGAAACTAAGATGATCTTGTCTCAGGACCCCTTGCTTTTTATTAACACAAATTGTCCTAAGGCAATGTGGAGATACACATATCAAAGGGTCAGGTTTCGTATACAGAGTCCATTGTCAGATTATCAGGTTTTAGAGAAACTGCCTTCGGCTGTTCAGGTGTTTGGCCAGTAGGAGGCAATAACATGTAGATTGAGATGCCCTTAGCTGTCTGGCAGCAAGCAATCATTTTTGCATCCTTTTCAGGTTTGGGGAAATGCCCTTCAGCCACTCCAGATTCAGCCCTGCTGTCATGCTGGAATTGGCTTCCAGCAGATAGGGAAACACTGAAGAATGACTTTAGCATGTAAATTTGTTTGACAATTTTCTGTCAAATACACAGCTTAATGAGTATTATTTAATTAAAATTTTGCTTGAATCTTCATTAAAACATAAGATCAATTTTTCAAAACATATCCAAAAATATAAGCAGAATGTTTTCTATTGCATTTTCTTTCCCTGGTCCTCTTACTCATTTTCTTAATGTTTCTAGTGTCCAGCACTTTCGTACCCCATCAAATTAAATACAAGCAAAAAATACAAAGCAATCAATTACAATAGTAAATTAAATTTTATTTCCTATGTTCCCTCTGTGCTCTCTAGTCTTTTCCTTTAGCTCGTACTTCTAGCCTTAAGACTTGAAACCTACTATGAGCCCTGAAAACAGACAGAGACACCGCCATCCCCCTGCTTCCAATAAACATAAACACTAACCCGGCACTCACCTAGTCGGAAGATAGAGACCAGTACTAAAGCTGCCAAATATCTGGACCTGAAAGAAAGAATGATTGTCTTAGAACTGGTGACAATTCAGTCATCCTTTGATTACTTCTCACTGAAAGAAAGGCCTCACTCCTACTTCCGGGTAAAATTTAAATTGCCCTGCACATTGGGAGGATCCAAAAACAATCCAATGAAATCTAGTCAAAGACCTTCCCCAAAAAGGAATTTTTAAAAACTCAAAATTAAGAGACAAAATAATTATTGGCCTTGCCCACACCTGCTAAAGCCAAGGACTTTTTAGAGCCTGGTTCAAACTCTCCAAAAACTTTCAAACCCACAGCTGGGACACAGAGGCAGGGCACTATGCCAGGGCACTAAAGTTAAAGCCAAGGATATTGTAATAAGTCACTTCAAAAGTGGAGGGGAATCAAGCTGCTGCCTGGCTCACTGGGAGCTCACATGCTCTTCAGCTGCCAGCTCATCTCCATCACTGTGGGCCACCAGTCATGGTCCCTGGTCACTGGTAGGAGAGGCTGACCGATTAGGACAGGAGCCTGTGGGCGGACCATCATAACTTGGTCAGATGACATGTTCATGCTGCCTGCGCTAAGCACTAGAAATGTCAGTGGCCCTCAACTCAATGGACTCTAGTTCATTTACTGTAAAAGTGATAGGTGAGGAAGCACTTTCAATTTTCACAAAAATGAACTTATGCTACGATGAGTGGTGGGGAAGGGGTAAAATTTCTAACCTTAAGGTGAATTTAAAAGAAAAATAATCACACCATTCCAAAAAACCTTCTGTTAGGCCAGTGGTCCTCACACTTAAATATGTCAGGACCACTAGGAAGGCATGTTAAACACAGACTCCTGCCCCTCCTCAAGGTGTCTGACTCAGCAGGTGCATTTCTAACAAGCTCTCAGGTGATAGATATGCTGCTGCCTGGCCCAGGACCACATCTGGAGAATCCCTGCCTTGGGCCAATAAGGGAGCCATAGGTCTGCACAGACAGGACTGACACGTTACAATGTTGGGTGCTCACATTTACTTGTATGTGACAAAGGAGTACAAAGACTATACCCACATCAGCTGTTGGCCAAAGATCTTTAACCACAGTTTCGATCCGTTTCACCACCTCTCTTCTCATGGCTGCTTCTTCAGGACAAGGGGACATGAAGTTATAGAAGTCAATTATTTCCTCATGAAGTCTAGTAAACAAAAGAGAAAACATACTAGAGTTACAATTAAACTTAACCACGTTACACTTTGGTATTATATCTGCATGACACTACAATATATTTCTGGCCACTTATAAACCAGTTTCTCTCCTCCTCTGAACACTCTGTGATGGACCAATTACACAGTATTATATAGCACAGGGGTGGGCAAACTTTTTGACTCGAGGGCCACAATGGGTTCTTAAACTGGACCGGAGGGCCGGAACAAAAGCATGGATGGAGTGTTTGTGTGAACTAATATAAATTCAAAGTAAACATCATTACATAAAAGGGTACGGTCTTTTTTTTTTTTTAGTTTTATTCATTTCAAATGGGCCGGATCCGGCCCGCGGGCCGTAGTTTGCCCACGGCTGGACCACAGATTAACACGAGTGAATTTTGTCAATACCATATACCAAAACTTTTGACTGGCACTTTAAGACTTATTCAAAAGAAATTCATTTCAGTGATCTTACATTAAGGTACAGAGAATTCTATTTATGAAAGATAATTCCTGTTGATGTGTCACTATGTTTTTCTTTTAAAACACAGTCACCCCAGTTCTGATGTGCTCCGAGGTCCACTGGGCACCTTTGGTGCTCATACTATGCATGGATGGTCTAAGACAGGCCAAAGTGAGACAGGGACATAAGAGACAAAGACACGTGTGCTTAGGAGGCCTGAGGGTTGTCTCAGCAGTCAGGCTCTGCCCTCCCACTGTTAACAACATGCTGGATCCAGTGTCCAGTGCCTCCCAACCTGTTACAGAAACATTGTCCCTGGAGGCAGAACAGCCCTATTTATCTCAACACTCCTTATGTGTCCTCTCTTATGACTCAGAGGCAAGGAGGTCAACAACCAAATCCATGTGGGCAGAAGTATGGCCCGCCCTTTCTTTCCTAACAAAGGTCTTCAGGAGAGAGGAGTCCCGAAAGCCACTTCATATCTCACCTCTGCCTCAAAAGACACTTCTGTCACTGTCAGCCATGGGCAAAAAGCCAGCCCTGTGGGGGTGGCAACAGTGGAGTTAAGTTTTAGGGCCAAAGACCTTTTCTGCAAACAAGTATTTCTGGAGGAAGGAAAGATGGTCATTCTCCATTTCCTTTAGATTAATTAAAGATGGGGGTTGGGGTGGAAGATGGGAGATGGGAGATGGTCCAATCCTAGAAGTTATAACAAATCAGATTCACCTGCTTCCATTCCAAGTTTGTTTAGAAAACCAAATAAAAGACAAAACAAAATTATCTCAATAATAATATAATAGTAAAGTCAGCTGAATATCTAACAAAATAGTCCACATAACAGCAGGCAATACTTCTCAACAGGATCTTTAACATCAAGTTATGAAGGTAAGGAGCACCATATTATCTTACATGTTATCTTACATAGGCTCTTGCTTAAAGTCGACGTCATCTTTCTTACCTGAAGTACTGCCTCCCTACTCCCAAAATTCATTTGGAGTGGCCATTCCTGACACTCGGCAGCAAGTCTGAAGACTACTCAAGGCCCTAAAGGCAGGGGAAATAAATCCTCCAGTAGGAAATAAATCCTCAACACCCTCGTTAGGCCATCAATCTCAGTCCATCACTGGAACCCAATTTTGTTCACCACGTTTAATTTTTTTTTTAATCAAAAAAAGCAAACCTCACCCAAGCATGCTGCCAGTTCAGCCAGCGAGGATCAGTCTTTTAATAAAAACAAAAAGGTAGAGAGTCATGTAACACTAAAATGCACTACGTTTTCCAAAATATCATTGAAGTCCAAGATAGTGAGGGTAAAGCTTCTATTATTTTAACAGTTACTGAGCACCAATCACATCTCTTCCAGCAGCTCAACAGACACATTAAAGTCTGAAGTGTGACCTAAAACTTCTTACCACTGGGCAATGTTGTTAGCATGACTAAGATGTGTCTGGTTAGCAGGCTAGTGCCCACACCAGCTAAGAGAGTCACAGGTGACTCCTTCCCTGTTATTAGGACATCACTGGGGAGAGCTGCCTGGGAGAAGCACTGGGCTCTGAGAACATCTTGTGCTGGGGGACCAGCTGCCACTCTGGGTGAGAAGTTAGTGCACTTGAAGCACTAAGGCAGTGATGGCGAATCTTTTGAGCTCAGCGTGTCAGCATTTTGAAAAACCCTAACTTAACTCTGGTGCCGTGTCACATATAGAAATTTTTTGATATTTGCAACCATAGTAAAACAAAGACTTATATTTTTGATATTTATTTTGTATATTTAAATGCCATTTAACAAAGAAAAATCAACCAAAAAAATGAGTTCGTGTGTCACCTCTGACACGCGTGTCATAGGTTCGCCATCACTGCACTAAGGGCACATGCTCTCCTACACCTCTTAGTCCTGGTCTGATAACAACAGTAGTATAGAAATTTAGAGACAAAAATAAAATATGAGCCTAGAATAATTAAACAATTGGCCCAGAGTCATGGAAGAAGAATACCAAAGCTAATATGCTAAAATATCTACATCCCACAAATACATTAAATCATCTTGTTAACAGGCATTCCAAATGTCATGCAGGTGTGCACTTGCAGAGCAGAACGTCCTGTCACTGTTTTCTTAAGTTGTATGTATCTGAAATAACAACATAAGACAGTCCCTCCTCAGCTTCCCAGGACCCCTACCCTCAGCACCCTGGATGTACCAGGAAAAGGAAAGGCATGAAGGGAGCCTGTGCTGCCTGTCTGCAGACGCTACCCAATCCGCATGACAGTGTCTTTTCTCACATGTCTGTAGACTGGCTCATGACATAAGAGAGGTCGTCTAGCACTCCCTCCTTCCCATATTTTAGGAGAAATTAATGATGGGGGCGCAGCATGCCCACATTTCCAGAGCAGGAAGGTGCCAAGTGGGACACACAGGCCTCCTGATGGCAGTGGCGTCTTCCACCAGTAAGATACACTGATAGTACACCTATCTGAAATAGGTATTAACTTGGATCTCAAAGTCTGCAACTGTCCTAACAAATATTACATAGTAAGAGTATTCTGACTTTGCCTTCTGGGAATGAAGGGATACTGCTGGCGAATTGGCTGGACTAGAAGGTGCTCTCACTGGCCAAGCCCTGCTAGCCCTTTGTTGAGGCAAGCAGGGGCCCTGAAGGCACTGTGTGACTCCTGGAACCACCAGAGGACTGCGTGGCTCTGGACTATGATTACACCTTCGGCACAGAAAGACATAGGAAGGTCTAACAACCATCATAACCTCTGGATCTACTGGAAAAGCTACAGCAGCTGCCTCCTCTGCTGGGTCTCTAGGTTGAAACCTCAAAGAGAGAGGAAGCACCAAGGATCGGCAGGGGATTAGGCAGTGAGATAGGACCCCCGTTCAGCCCCAGAAGAACTGTGGCATTGCAGCAATCATCAGAAGCCACAGGACAGTGAGGCAGCACCCTCTCCCTGGCCAAACCCAGCATGCACTGTTCCCCTACGCCCTGCATTCTTCAGGCCAAGTATCAATGGACTAGAGTCTGTCTCCACCCAGGTTGGAACCTATCAACCTCAAAGGGCTCACCTGCTCACTGCCTGATTTCCAGCACCAGAACAGTGTTTGCTTATGGCAAGCATTCAATAAATACGTGTGGAATGAATCATATCAAGTTTTGATAAATATTGCTATGACCTTGTCATTTAAAATTTACATTCCCTACAAAAAGACATCAAAAATCAGCATTCCAAGAAGTAATATTTTACCCCTGTAGTGGCTAACCTAACTTGTTAACGGAACCCATTTAAATAGCCAACTGTCCTTTTAGAAATGTAAACAGTGCTAAATAAAAGCATTTGGATTACTTTATTCAATACTAACATTACAAATAGTTTTCATCCCTTTAAGAAACTGCATATATGGGTAGGGACAAAACACTTTCACTTTTAGGTACTATCAGCCACAAGTCCAACTGCCAGCATCAGATATAACACAGGTCATTTTTTTAATCTATTACTTCCCATATGCACACACTTAATTCTCCAGTTTCACAGAATTAAGTCCACAAAAATTTTGATCATTTCTCCTCAAAAACCAAAATGAGGAAGTTCACTCTTCTCACATAACAAAACCTCAAAGGCATTTCACAGCTGACAAGATAGCTACATAAAAACCGCACTAAATCTCCTAACCCAAAGACAATTTAGCCTTCCTCTCTGTAAAAAAACAATAAAAAATATTTTTTAAAAAAAACCGCACTAAATCTCCTAACCCAAAGACAATTTAGTCATTGTTATCTCTTACAGCTCAATGTCAGTCCACTAGAATTCAGTCTCCAAATCTTCCAAGCTTTTAGGCTGTGACCATTATAGAAAAATTTCTAAAATGAATCAGAGGTGGTATCTCAAAACCAGCAGGAAACTATGAACATCTATCAGGGGGCCCTGGGACCGGTTCCAAGCCTGCTTCAGTGGCAGAAGCTGCTGGCTGCCTGCCTGGTGTGCTAAAAGGACACATGGACCATCCTCTCCAGCAGCTCCAGGTCGAAGCTACCAGGAGATTTCTCGAAAAGTTTCCTAAGGGGGTTAGTTCCCACAGCCCTTTTACCTTCCCCTTTCTCAGTACTGGAGCACTGACCTGTGGCCAAGCTCCAGAAACACAATCCTCACAAAACTACTGGTGAACCACTTCTGAAGCATTATTTTCTAGGTTACTTTTAAACTAAACATTCTCATCTACAATGGCTCTCTTATAAGAGTACAGACCCATTCAAAAGGTAATGACTGACTTCTCAATTTTTAGTATATTTCCTAAATTAATTTCTGTTCTTAGTACCAAATATAAGATGAGCAATGTTTTAGTATCTATCTTAGTACCTGGTATATGGTTGCAGTAAATATTTATAAAACCCACCTCAAAGAGCTGTTTTAAAGAGCACAAGATGAATTACCCAGTTAGAGAAGCAAACTACCTCATTTCACAGCTAATGAAGCTACTGATGAAAACAGATGACCATTTCAGGGGATTATTTTTTATTTTAGAAGCTCA